TTAATTACTTGCTCCATTATCTTCCCTGGCACAGAAGTTAAACTAACTGGTCTGTAGTTTCCTGGGTTGTTCTTATTTCCCTTTTTATAAATGGGCACTATATTTGCCCTTTTCCAGTCTTCTGGAATCTCTACTGTCTCCCATGATTTTCCAAAGATGATAGTTAGAGGCTCAGATACCTCCTCTATCTGCTCCTTGACTGTTCTAGGATGCATTTCATCAGGCCCTGGTGACTTGCAGGCATCTAACTTTTCTAGGTGATTTTTAACTTGTTCTTTTTTTATTTTATCTTCTAAACTTACCCCCTTCCCACTAGCATTCACTATGTTAGGCATTCCTTCAGACTTCTTGGTGAAGACTGAAACAAAGAAGTCATTAAGCATCTCTGCCGTTTCCAAGTTTCCTGTTACTGTTTCTCCCTCCTCACTGACCAGTGGGCCTACCCTGTCCTCTTGCTCCTAATGTATTTATAAAAAGTCTTCTTTTTTCCCTTTATTCCCGTAGCTAGTTTGAGCTCATTTTGTGCCTTTGCCTTTCTAATCTTGCCCCTGCATTCCTGTGTTGTTTGCCTATATTCATTCTTTGTAATTTGTCCTACTTTCCATTTTTATATGACTCCTTTTTTATTTTTAGATCATGCAAGATCTTGTGGTTAAGCCAAGGTGGCCTTTTGCCCTATTTTCTATCTTTCTGATGCAGCGGAATAGCTTGCTTTTGGGCCCTTAACAATGTCCCTTTGAAAAACTGCCAACTCTCCTCGGTTGTTTTTCCCCCTCAGTCTTGATTCCCATGAGACCTTACCTATCAGTTCTCTGAGTTTACCAAAATCTGCCTTCCCGAAATCCATTCTCTGTTTTGCTGTTCTTCCTTCTGCCCTTCCTTAGAATTGTGAACTCTATGATTTCATGATCACTTTCACCCAAGCTGCCTTCCACTTTCAAATTATCAACCAGTTCCTCCCTATTTGTTAGGATCAAATCTAGAACAGCTTCCCCCCAGTAGCTTTTTCAACCTTCTGAAATAAAAAGTTGTCTCCAATGCAGTCCAAGAATTTATTGGATAGTCTGTGCCCCGCTGTGTTATTTCCCCAACATATATCTGGATAGTTGAAGTCCCCCATCACCACCAAATCTTGGGCTTTGGATGATATTGTTAGTTGTTTAAAAAAAATCCTCATCCACTTCTTCCACCTGGGTAGGTGGCCTGTAGTAGACTCCTAGCATGACATCACCCTTGTTTTTAACCCCTTTTAGCCTAACCCAGAGACTCTCAACACTTCCGTCTCCTATGTCCATCTCCACCTCACTCCAAGTGTGTTCATTTTTAATATATAAGGCAACACCTCCTCCCGTTTTTCCATGTCTATCCTTCCTGAGCAAGCTGTACCCTTCCATTCAAACATTCCAATCATGTGTATTATCCCACCAAGTTTCTGTGATGCCAACAATGTCATAATTGTACTCCCTGCTTATTACCATACTTCTCACATTTGTATATAGGCATCTAAGATACTGATTTGACCTTGCCTCCCAGTTTTGCTTTGACCCTCTGTTCTCTCTGCCGTTATAGCCCATGCTCTCTCCCATTTCTGACCCATCTCCCAGGTCTCCATGTTCTCCACTTATCTGTGGGCTTTGCTTACCTGTTCCCATCGAACCTAGTTTAAAGTCCTCCTCACTAGGTTAGCCAGTCTGTGTCCAAGTAGGGTCTTCCCCCTCCTTGAAAGGTGAATGCCATCTCTTCCCAGTAGTCCTTCCTGGAATAGCATCCCGTGGTCGAGGAAGCCAAAGCCCTCCTGGTGACACCATCCTTGCAGCCAGGCATTCACCTTAAGGATACAGCTGTCTCTGCCCAGGCCCCTACCTTCAACAGGAAGGATTGAAGAGAATACCACCTGCGCTCCAAACTCCTTCACCCGTACTTCCAGAGCCCTGTAGTCACTCTTGATCTGCTCAGTGTCTCACCTCGCAGTATCATTTGTGCCCACATGGATGAGTAGCATGGAGTAGTAGTCAGAGGGCTGGATAATCCTTGACAATGCCTCCTTAACATCTCGGATACGGGCCCCCAACAGACAGAATACCTCCCGAGATGAAATGTCAGGGCGACAGATGGGCGCCTCTGTCCCCCTCAGAAGAGAGTCTCCGACCACCACTACCCTACGTTTCCTAATCGCAGTGGTGGCAGCAGACCTCCCAGCCTTGGGGGTACGAGGCTTCTCCTCCTCCGTAGTAAGGGGTGATTCCTTATCTCCTGTATAAAGAAGAGCATAACGGTTTCCTAGTACCACAGTGGGAGGGTTCGGAGCAGGGGTGGAGCAGTGTCTGCTGCCAGAAGTAACCAGCTGCCAGTGTCCACCCTGAGCCGTCTCCTCCTCCACCAGTGTCCTGTGTACTGGGACAGCTACCTCAGCTGTCTCCTCATGAACACGGTCCAGGAATCGCTCCTGGATTCGGGTGCTCCTCAACCTAGCCACCTCCTGTAGCTCTCCCACCTGCTGCCTGAGAGATTCCAGCAGCAGGCACCTTTCGCATTGGATGATCTCCCCAACCTGGATATCAGTAAGTGGGAATTGCAAGCCACGGTCCCTGCAAAATCACACCAGGATCTGGGTAGAGGCATCCATGCTCAAGTGCTCTGTCTGGCTACAGGCGCAGGTGGAGGAGACAGAAGTAGTGCTGGCACAGCTGTTGCGGGTCTTCCTGACCATCGTAGGCCTCCCTCTGTCAAACTCCCTCTCAAACTCCCCTGTCTGCACCCCTCTGTCTGCCTCGCTCCACATGTAACTATTCTTGCACAGGATATGGGAATCAAACTCACCAGCCCTCCAAAGAGGTCCTCTTAGGGTTATAGATCCATGCATGGGGTGGAGCCAAAGCTAGAGGGGATAGACACAGTTACTCCTCTTGCTTCTTTTCTTCCATCTGAGATTCTACAAAGAAGATGATGAATCTAGAATCTACATTAACTTTTGTGTGAACTGCTCTTATGGAAAGTTCCAAAGGAAGCCACCATGCGGGGCTCCCTGTAGCTCCCAGGGCCTGGCTGGGATGATTTAGTTGGGGTTGGTCCTGCTTTGGGCAGGGGGCTGGGCTCGATAACCTCCTGAGGTCTCTTCCAGCCCTAGGATTCTATGATAGTGGCAGAGTAGGAATTCAGGAAACTTAGAAGGGCATTGGAGTGTGCTGATACAGAGTTTTAGCATAGATGGTCTTTCATGTTCAGCAGATTTCTAACTAGATGAAACTCTACCCACTTAACAGTAAAAATTCAAAGGAAGCACTGTAGGGTTCACATCATAAAGTGTTCCTCCCATCCTGAAATTTTGTGTGGGCATTTTCTTTGCTGGAGGTGATGAAACATTCTCCAACACATGCCCACAAGTTGTTCACAGTTACACTTTTGAAATAGTTGCTGACCAACACTGCACAGTTATTACTGCAAGTATACCACATTACCAAAATATAAATACTTAGATATTAATTAATAGCTGTGTCCCAAAATTCTATCAAAAAATCTTATAACAAGCTGACTTCTCACATCCTTAAAAAGATATTTATCTTTTCTAATTTTATGTTAACCTGCTAATTTTCATCTCTAGAATGGAGATGATCTGGCATAGCTGGCTTTTTTACAGGGAAGATTATGCAAAATAATATGATTGATATGGGTAACTTTTTTAATAAATGGGGGAAATTATTATGTCTATAGAAAAAAAATCTATAGTAACAGCCTGACATCTGCAAATACAATTTAT